TTTTCCATTATCCCAATATACAACGGGTTTGCACATCGCACAGCCATGCATCACATGAAGGTGACGATGCTGTCCCAGGTCTAGGGATTTAAGGGTTTTGCCCGCAGAATCGCAAGGGGGTTTAGGGACGTGAAGCGCAGGCTGCAACTACATGAGAGTCGAGCCCTGCCACCACCCCCCCGGGGCAGCAGACAGAAGTACTACTACCGCCTGAACTGGAATCTAATGGGAGGTTCACATGGTCCTAGCTGGAAGGAACGCCACATGACTGAAACACGCTGTTGCTCTTGTGGTGGTAGAAGAAACAGTAGCAGTGGCAGTGGCACGTAGCAGTAGCAGCAATCGCAGGTAATCAGGCAAATTGCCATTATGGGGTGCAGGGGTCTGGCAGGAGAAGCAAGGATGAATGTTCCCCCCCCCCCCCCGCCCGTCCCCGCCCACCCCGCCGCGGGGAAAAAAAATATGGGGTCGTAATCCAGAACTAACCAAAAAAACTAGATCAGCATCTCACATTTAGGTGCTGTTGATCTTCGATGGTCCCTGGCCTGTCTCGATATATGCCCGGAACCCTTCTGCATCAGATCTACTGTCGCCGTAGCCCTTCTCAGGCCCCAATCTTACTGGCGCTTAGGGGACCGCAGACTAAGTATTGGGAGGATGAAATGCATTACAGCGCATTGGGGGATCCACTCCCCCTTCAGCACCGATAAGCGACGTCTCAGCTATCAGCATTGCTGCAGGTCAGTTGCGTCGGTGCCTTGCGCAGGATGCATGTAAGGGTGCCAAGGTCAAGAGCTCCAGCGTTTCAAACATCCCTGTGATGCTTTCCATGGTTTCCCCACACCTTCTATTCAATTTCTCCTGAACTCTTAAACTGCAAACCTTCCGAAATGGCAGTGGGCAGCGCAAGGCCTTCTGCCAAGTCTTTGGACCTTTGAGAGCATGACTGACTTGCTGCACTGATGATCTGGGAGTTTGAAAAACCCGGGATCTGAAGAATGTACGCGGACTGAGGGGTGTATTCGGTCCGCATGGGGGATAGGGCGGCAGAACACCCATTCCTGTTGCAAGGGGAACCCCACGGACGCAGAGAACAGAATTCGGAGAAACTCTCACACATGTAACCATGAAATGGTAAGTGCCCCACAGCTCTTTTCCCACTTGAGACCTTTTCGAGCATGCAAACTCTCCACAGCACGACCAGTCACTGGTAGCCTTGGGCAGCTGCACAATGTCATCCAGCCGCGTTAGTGCGCCTGCTCTTAGGTCCGCGTAGACCTAATGCAAGGTCAGGGGAATCGCAACGAGCAGCTCCGTCTGAGTCTTGAAAATGAACCTATTTGCGCTTGAAACTCTCAGAACGTGACGGTGTCATGCATTCGTCCTGCATGCCGCCATGTATAGGAAAGACTCCGGACGCTTCAAAATCATGTGTGCTAGCCTCGACCGGAAGAGGAGCTTCATAGAGAAGACTTCGTGAGAAACTGGCCGCGAATCGCGGCCAATGGCCGCGACGCATCGGAAAGCAGCGGTGGCAAACAGGCCCAGAAAAGCTTGTCAACTTGGAGTGTCTTATATTCACGGTTAGACAAAAGCATTTGTTAATTTGGGGGGTGCATTGTCAGAATTAGAATTCGAATTGCCCGACCGCCCTGGTGTATGAATGCTTGAGTGCTCTGGCCAGAGAAAACGTCCAGTCAGCTGCAAGACATGTGGCGGACACCTCAACCGGCCCCACCCAGACGCAAGTCTTTTCCTCCCCAGCTGAACAAGCTGTATACAGTCCAAGTCTGGGAAAAAAGTCTTTTCCACACCACCGAAGAGCAGGCCCCTATGCGATGCCGCACTGCTTCAAGCACTCCAGGAAAACCTTAGGAATGTTGTTGAGGTGCAACTCAAACCTTGAAAAATCCAGATTGGATTCCGTCTCATGCATTATAAATATAGTGTGGCACAATGATTTATAGCACAGTATAGTGTAGTATATTCCTTAAAGTAAGTTACCATAATGGGCAAAAACAGTAATTAATATGGTTTCCCCACTGTAGTAACTTGAATTAAGTTCCTTAACAGTACTTACCAGCACAACCCAGAAAAGTAAGAGGCTCTTCACCAACAGTCCAGAGAAACTCCCATCTGCACTGGGTTCTCCCGCTGTACTGCCATCTCTGCCACCAGCCTTAGCTAAGGTCAGGCTCAAAAATCGAGGATTACGCGGAGATCTGTAGGGAAGTAACACATAAGAATGGTAATAATAGTAACAATCATGGTAGTAAGAATATTCATAGTGCTAGTAAGAATAACGTAATAACACTAATATAGTACAGTAGTAGTAATAACGGCAATATTAGTAAGAATAATAATGGAACTAATACTAGAAACAATACTCGCAAAAAGGAAAATAGTGGCAATACTAATCTCAAGCACATCATCTCTTGAGATCAAAAGTCCCTTCTAAAAGCAACCCAAGATGCAGCAGGGTCTTGATGCCAATGCTTTTGCCAGCAATTCCAGCGGAAATCTCCTGAACTGCTGGGGCTGTGAAGCCCGGCAGTGCCTCCAAAACCGCCTTGTAGTGAGGAGGCTGTGACAATACCGGCACCTTGGGGTTTCCCAAAATTCAAGGTACCATTTACCCCTATAATGGAGAATCAAATGGAAAAGAAAATGGAAAATGAAATGGAAACTGAGGTTATATAGGGGTATATAGGGATAAGGGTTCCCCAAAATTAGACCATTTTGCGGGTCCCTATAATAAGGACTATACTATATTGGGGTCTATGTTTTGGTACCCTAATTTTGCGAAACTAGCACCTGAAGTGCAACATTGAAGGCCTGGAACAAGTCCGCCTCCTCCAAGAAATGCGGATCTGCTGTGGTACCAAGAACAAGAAGCCTGGAATTCTCCTTTGGAGGGGGTTTCTTCAAAAGGGCAAAAAGAGCTTGCAGAACCGGCGTAGAAAAGCGAGGGCCAATGCGAACGTAGTCGATCAAACGTTCGATGTCATCCAGCACGATGCAAGACAGATCACTCTTGTATGCATCCTCAAAGACCTTGGCAATGGCTGCAATCTTCGCAGGCTCGGAGTACCCGACATAGTTCTCACTGGTGATGCGCCGCACGAACGGATAGTCTGATTTCTGCGCCAGATGGGCCGACAGGGCAGTTTTACCACAACCACGTTCACCATGCAGCAGCAAGCTCATGAGGGGTGTGTTGGTGCTCCCTCGCAACTGCTCGATGATGCTCATGCAGGAGCCTATCATATGGCTGAATTCCTCTGAGTACGGCTGGAGGCCACCTGGTATGCATTTCTCAAACTCATCTGTATGTTGCCCGAAGGCTGGCTTAACCTCGTCGAGTGCCATATCAAAGTCTTCGTTGCAAACACGGAAGTCGCCGTCCTTTATGCTAAGGTCAGTGAAGCTGACCTTGCGATTCATCGCCTCAGCTAGTACTTCACGTTGCTTAGCAGGGTCGTCGTTGCAGCGGCAGTGGAGCAAGAAGAGCAGCGAGAGGAAGAGCCGTCGCTGTAGGACCCTACACCCTAAACCCGACCCGACGTGAAATAGCCCCATCAGCGCAGCAGAATGACAAAAACATCTAGGAAGTATAAACACCCAACTATACACTCGTGCGGCCACGCGAAAGAAAAGCTGCAGGGAGCTATCACTTTCGCGAATGGCATGACAAACGCAGGTAGGCATGCAAGGGCAACCACACAATCTAAACCACGGCTCAACGTTAGTGGTGGGCAGTGTTTTTGCCAAGAATCGTAAGAGGTTGCAGAACGGATTAATCCTTCCAACTCCGCGCCGGAAAAGTTCTTTGATCGTGTTGCGATCTCTTGGATGGAGACTGCCTTGGCTCACTTGGTTTGAAATCTGAAAGCCGTCATAATACGTCACAAGAACTATTCTGAGGAGTATATGGACTACTAGGGATCCCTTCACGAATAAGTTTTGGCCTAGAGGTGCCCTGATAAGGGTTAAGGTATGGGGTGTACGGTGTAGGGACCTCACCTTTCTAGATATCCTCAACGATCCAAGAAGGATTCCAAGTAGCTCCTTCGCTACAAACGGCCGATCTTGACTTTGGGGCAAGACCGTCACTTACAGGACCTGCAAGCTTATGAAAAGCAACCACCTCTCTACACACATATATACAAATGCACACCTTTAACAAACCCAAGAAAGGCGTCACATAATAGCACTGTATTTGTAACCTCTACTGAATCAAAGGAGGGGCTGGGTCTAAGTAGCCTTTGTCCCGCATGGATTTCGTGTGGATGTTTAAGATCTCCACGCGGCCATGCTCATCGGGAAGGCTAATCTCCACATGGACCTCGGAGCTTCCAAAACTTGGTTCTTGAGACCCTCGAAAAAGGGGGCCATAACAATAGCACCAGAATAGCAATAGTGGTAACAACTATGATACTAATACTAATACTGATAATAACAATAGAAATAATGCATAGCAATAATAGCAACAATATTAACGATAGTGATAATAGTAATGATAGTAACAATAACAGTAATAAGAGTACTATTTGATACTAATCTAATAATCATGAATTAATGGGAACAGTGAAGAAAAACACCCTCCACCTCCAGCCGCCCGGGCCGAAGGAGTGCCTCGTCGATCAAGTCCTGCGGACAAAAGGCTTCGGGAGGAGCACACTTCGCTGGATCAGGGGGCTATACATTAGGTGGACCCCCCACCCAATAATAGTGACGATAAGGGATAATCGGGATGATATTAAGGTCCTCTTATATTCTTATTATACCACTATTACAGGGTGGGGGGTCCTCCTAAGTTATACAGTGTATGTAGGGGTTGTATAGGGGCTAGTTTAGTATAGGGCTTAGGGTTTAGGGTTTCAGGTTTGGGGTTCAGGGTTTTGGGTTTTCCGTAGATTATGGGTACCTCTCTGGGGATCCCCTTGATAAGGATTGCGGTATTTTGGTGTCTTGATTGGGGTCCCCCTAGAAAAGGCAACCACCATGAGGCACCCTCTTAGAATACCACTCGGGGATACGGGTGATCACAAAAATATTGGACAACCCTGCCAATGATTGCTTCTGATGAGCTTGACAGAAGAATGGCTCCTTGCGGTTTGTCATGCCAATGAGCAGGATATTGTTCAAGGAGTCCACACCGTCAATCTTGGACAGGAGCTGGTTCACAATGCTGTCATGCACCCCAGTTCCATCCCGGGTGGAGCCTCGTGATTTGCAAATGGAGTCTATCTCGTCAAAGATGACCACGTGCAAGGGAGAATTTTCTCCCAACGTCTTCTCATCTTTTTCGGCATCTGCAAAGAGGTTTCGAATGTTCTCTTCTGCCTGACCGACATACTTGTTCAGGACTTCCGGCCCATTCACAATCTTGGGCTCTGCGGCCTTCAAGAACTTCGCCAGCTTTCTGGCAATCAGCGTCTTCCCTGTCCCAGGTGGCCCGTATAGCAGCATGCCTCGCACGTGATTGATGCCCAAATCCCGGATCATGTGAGGTGGGAAGATCCGCGCCGCAAAGGCTCGCCTAAAAATGTCTCCGAACTGCTTGCTGAGGCCACCGATGCCAAGGTCCTCAAAGTTGAAGTCAGGCCGGAAGATGTTTCGCTGCTGCACTTTGTTGGACAAGACATGGAGCTTTCCAGAAGGACCCTGCTGAAAATCCAGCTCAGTCAGAGAGGCCAAGAGCCCAGAGTTCACCTTCGTCCTGGCCACGCCATCTCCCAAATCCTGGGCCATAATATCCCCGTATAATGGAGAATCAAATGGAAAAGAAAATGGAAGATGAAATGGGAACTGGGGGAATATAGGGATCTCACGAACTTAAGTTGAGTTACTATATTTGGGAAACCCTATTAATCACTATATATATTCCCATTATGGTAGCTTAATTTGAATTTCCTAACAGCAACCCAGAATCCGGAGGCATCAAACTGCGCACGTCAAACTTCAAGAGCTGGCCATTGTAGTCCACCGCTATGGTCTGTCCCACGGCGAATACTTGAGCTTCGAAGTTTTTCCTGACCAGCGACTCCAACTCCTCATCCCTCACCTGGAATGGTGTTTAGGGCTCTCTGAAAATCATGAATCTCATCCCACCTGCGAGATACATGGGGGATTCTACGATACTCCTGGGCCTTTGTCGAAGTTCGGGGTGACACAGGCACTCCCGTGCTTCTATTCCTCATTCAAGAATAGATCTTTTGATAAGACACATGAGAAACAAAGAACCCATCCTCTCTATAGATATACATATATGTGTAAGTACATGTCTTTACATGTATATGCACACACACACATATGAGCAGTTGAGGAATACTTGCTTGTAACGCGAGCGGATGAGTTGTCATCAGCCGGAGAGGATCCCCAATTCGCCGAGGCTTTGCGACAGCGTTTACAATTACGACCCAGTTGCCTCCAGTTTCGGTGTCTCTGGCGTGGGCTTGATGAAGAAGTCCACCTCAGGGCTTCAGGTTCCTGGTTGTGGTTAGATATAATGGAAAAGAAAATGGAAACTACTATGGTATAATAGGGATTGTATAAGGATAATGGAGAAGAAAATGGAAACTACTATATAGTAGATATGGAATACATAAGGAAACTACGCCCAGGATGGAGAATACTACTAAATTGTTCATTTCCCCCACCTCCATCTTGCAGGTTCCGAGGTCAAAACCTGCAGGCACCAGGAACTGCTTCACAAAGACCTTGCCAGTAGTTCTTAGGAAATGGAGGAACTCGAAAAAAATGGCAACCATTGTTTGGAAGGGAGGAATGGATCCCTAAACCGTAATCCTTACATAATCACCTGTCAGTCTCTACATCCTATTCTTTCATTCCCGACTAACCGCCGGCAAGAGACCTCCTGGTTCAGCCCAATTTTGGCGAACTCCCGCTGGACTTTGTTGAAGGCAATTGTGCCAGGCTCCATTAGTCGGTGTGCCTGCAAGATTCAGGGTGTAGCGTACACAGCGATTTTGGTTGAGGCTTCATGCGTTGAGGGTCAGGTTTTCGGGCTTAAGGCGTTTCTTTGGCTACGAGCTATGGGGTCTAGAGCTTCAGCTTTGGGTTAGTGGCTAAGCAGGGTTGGGCTTCCGAGAGGCCTCAATGCTGAACACGCAGCTCTTCACTTCCACATATTGGGACCTGGGTCACACGGAATGATCATCTTCATTCGTACTTGCAGGTAAGTAAAAACACTCATGACTCATGATTGATAAACTGCTCCAGCTGTAGGAGCTACATCTTCGCCTAGCGCTTTGGATCAGCACCCTCACCGATTGCCTTAGCCGCCTACACCAATCCTTACTGGGGGAAAACAGGAAATATGAAAAGGGAATGTAGTGCACAAATACTCCCTATATCTATATATATATAATAGACTACCTTATTCTCTAGGCCCCATTAAGATACCTTCTGCCTGCAGCCTGTCTGATGCGACCCGGCACTAAATCCCCCCGCCCATAATCCTATCCCTACACCCAGCTCTTCTGATTCATCCAGCTCAAAGCATGTAAATGACTCTCTTTTAATATACGCGAAGGGGCCATTCTGATAAGGTTTAATGTTGAACCTTCGGGGCTTCGGGAATATCAGGTGCTGTTCATGTGCCTGATGTAAATCCTAAACCCTAAACCCTAAATAGTAGTTTCTCTTTTCTTTTCCATGATCCCCACACAACCCCTGTACAGCCCCTATAACCCCCCAAAAAAGGGGTATCCTAATTTTGGGAACCCCCAATTGGGTTTCTCGTTGGCATAGGGACTTGGAAGGTGCCCCGCACAATCGCTCCAGATCCGCTTGGCTCGCATAGCACCGATTCGTGAACGCCAAAGTCTCAGGGCAAGCGCTGCGGCGTAGAAATAACAGTAGTAGTAATGATAATAGTAATAGTAGCCATAATGGTAATCATAATAATGAATACAAAGATTAGGATCTACATGGTTTGGGGGGCTTACGGCTTCGAGATCTGTGGGGCTTAATGTGCAGGGTTTAGGGCTCCGACTGTGCTTTGAAAACGACACCCAGGATCCGTACGAAATCCAGCTTGGCGAAGCTTCTAGTCATTTTAACGCCCTCTTGCAATTTCGAGCTCGCCCATGCCAAACAGCACCAAACACCTTCAAAAATCCCTGTCCTTCTCCGGCAAATTTGATGGCTTCAAGCTCAGCCCAAAGGACATGGCTCAAAGAATGCAAGCGAGAAAAAGAATCTGTGTCCCCATGTACACCTTCCCAGGATGCCTAGGGCCTGCTGTTTTGAGAACCATATGGATTCCATGGGCAGACTGACTGAGGACTTTCCTGACAATGCATACTATGAGGTGCATGCGCTTGGCTATGCTTGTGCCAGAAATGAGTCGGTTCAGGCAATGGATGTTGGCCCCGAGGGTGAATCCAAATAGCAACACAAGCCCACAGCGTGCTTGTCTGTATTCACTCCGCGGTCCACACAGAAATTGCCGCTCAGTCTTCCTTCCAGTTGTGGGTGCACTGAGTACACCTGGAAACCAGAACGTTACTGCAGAAACACAAAACGTCAAAGTATCACCGAAACTTCGGCTGCCTGTAGAACGTTGTCATGGGCTCATCCGCTGATCGAGTTTGCATTTGCCGGAAGTAAGCTCTCGAGTGGGCGCACTTAGGGCCTGCAATATGCAGGCGCACACGACCAAGTCCACAGGCAACGCTTCGCCGCCAGCACCCATGTAGGGCCGGAGCAGTGGGCATCGCATTGTTCAACGTCCTTCCAAGCCTTTCTTCAGACAGAACGGGAAGACTACACCACTGCAGACTGAACACTTGAGCCTCACTACCGCCCAGCACATCGTCAACCTCTTTTCTGACAACGACCTGTTTGTTCGTCAGCTTCTCCTGTCAGCAACAAAGGCAACATCAACTAAGAAACTTTGGGCCCCTCATCCAAAGCTCCCGAATCTTGTACACGTACGGGCACGTCCTGCATGGCAAACGTCTTCTTTGCTTCCAGGCTGTCTCTGCTCAAGCTCTGCGAACCTACTCCCGTCTCCTACACCTGAAGGCAGAATTGGAGCTCCGTCCGATCTCCACCATCAATAAATTGGCACCTCTCAAGGGCTGTGCCAACACGACAGGACTTGCAAAAGAAAATGTTTGTGACAGGCCACAAGTGGGGCAGAACTGAGCCGCCATGATCGAAGCTGCCGATACTACGTTGCCCCTCGTTTGTATTCTCAAAGCTTGGAAACATGTTACCTGCCCAACCTATGCACCAACTCAGGTGTCTTGAGATGTCCGTGCGGAACTGCCATAGCCATCCCTTCGCCTCTTGGTAAAACAACGTAATCCAAGAATGAAGCTGGCCCGCTCGAAATGTGCAACTTGCTGCGTCTACCATGATGGGGTCTTGAACATACTCCTCACACAATCATCTTCAGCACGCTGCAACATTTGCAGATTTGCGAGCCTATTCCTTTTCGAACGTCTCAAGGCAAGCCTCCAGATCATTGCATTCGCTGTCCAATTACATGTTAGAGCAGTGAGACAATGTATCATCATCAGAACGACACTGGCGTCTCTTGTCATCGTACTTGCACTTGGCATAAGCTTCGCCCTTTGGCATCATCGTATACGATGCTTCGCATTCAGCCTTGCTACGCGGACTGTTGCAATACTTTGTAAATGTCATACTGCGCATGTCTGCACAAAACTTGGTTTCGCAGCATACGCTGTCAGTGTTCCCTCCAATTCCCGCTGAGCTGGAAGCCGACGGCTTTAATGTCAGACCAGGTCCGCACGTGTGTCGTGCACAGGACTCATCGCAGCAGGTCTCATCAGAAGTGCCTGTCACCTTCCTCTTGGCTGAGCTGGCCAGCCAGCCTTTGCTACAAGTATGGAGAGCACACGATTTGCGGCAGCATGTGTCTCTCCCGGTTGCAAGCATGTCAGCTGCATCTTTATTTGGCACCCAACCTTCCGGGCATTTGAACACGGAACACTGCATTTGACAGCATCGCTCATTCGCTCGTTCATCCGATGGTATGAACAAAGCAGCTTTAGCTGCATCCTCCACAAAACCATCAGAGCAAACATGCTGCTTGCATGTGGGTTGGCAGCACTCGTCTTCATTTTCGGGGGTACTCTTCTTTTTGCTGTCTGGAACCGCAAAATTCACTGGGCACGTCACAGTTTCGCAAGTCTTTGCGCAGCACTCTTCGCGCGAAGCTCCCACCTGATCCACTTTGCTTCCATTCAAAGCCCAGCCGGGTCCACATGCCATAAGTGCACAACGCGGCTCGCAGCATACTGCGTCAGAGTTTCCAAGCCACTGCGCCCTTTGCTTCGAAGGCTGCCACAACGCCCCGCAACTGTGCAATTCACAAGTTTGGGCACAGCACTCTTCAGCCGTAGAGCCTGCCATGTCGGCTTTGCTGGTCGGCATGCGGAAACCAGAGGGGCAGCTGAAACTTTTGCACGTTCGGTCACAACAAGCCTCAGCACTGAAGCCCACATTCCTGCGGTAAGCCGCGTTGGCTTTGTAATTGTCTGGGCAATCGAAAAGTTCGCACGTTTGCTGGCAACACTCCTGGTTGCTTGCTCCGATGTGCTCACTCAGTGGCTGCTTGGGGACCCAACCGTCTGCGCATTGGTGATGCCAATTGCAACACGAATTTGGTGCTGCATGCGCGCACTGCGCTGACGACAGCTCGCTGAAAGCCTTCAAGTTAAGCGACAAAACCCATGGCAAATTGGCCAAAGCCACCAAATACTTCATTGAAGGAACCATAAGCTGCGGCCCTAGGACCTGCCCGCTCTCGGTACTTGAGTATAAACGGACATTCGACCACTGACATGCGCATCACTCAAACACAACCGCGACTAAAACACCGCGACCAGCGAGCAGCATCCAGCACCAGCAACACCAGCAGGACCAGCAGGACCAGCAGCACCAGCAGCACCAGCAGCACCAGCAGCACCAGCAGCACCACCAGCACCACCAGCACCAGCAGCA